TTAAGCTCATTTACTTTTACTTTTGATTTGTCATGTTTTGATTTTGTTTGTTTTCTTATATTTTCCTTGGACGCACCGTTTTCTACGTGTGCCACTGTTGTAAAAGTGTAGCTTCCAAATAAAGAATAGAATATAAAGACTACCATAGAGTGCTCACAGGCAATGTTGTATATAAACATGGCTGTCAAACACAATTGGGCATACTAAAGACTAGCATAGAGTGCTCACAGACAATGTTGTAAATAAACATAGCTGTCAAACACAATTGGGCATACTAAACACTAGCATACAGTATTGACCCAAACTATTTAGCTTTTCTTATTAAGTAATATAATTGGTTAACCATACTAATTAGAAAAACACAAACTTGACCATACTGAAGACTAGCATATTGACCCAAATTATTGAGCTTTTCTTATTAACTAATATAATTGGTTTTACCATGCTTAGAAAAAGATAATATCTTTTTAAAATGTTTCAATAGAATGAATGTACTGCTTTTTTACAGCATTTATTTAGAGAAATGTATAAAAGCATTTAAAAGACAATTTGCTGGTACAATTAATGTACAATCATAGTTTATAAATTAATACTATAAAATATATTTTTTATAACAGTTTTTTAAATTATCACTTATGCATACCTTATAAATATATAAATTAGTTTAATATAATAAGAAAAAAATTTGAGTTAAATATTATAAAAATGCACTGAAATTCAGAATGCACATATTTTAAATTTACAATTTAATTAAATATTACAATTATTGATTAATGCTTTAATTCTTTTTTAATTACAATTAGTTTTCCATAACTTATAAAAATAAATTTAATATGATTAAAATACAAAAATATGAGTATATACAATATGCTCTGAAACTCTGATTAAATATTATTTTAAATTTACAAATTACTGTATTCAAATTAAAGAAAAAGTATAAAGAGTAAATACAATAATTTCATTATTTAGAACCTAACATTAATTGAACTATCAATTGAATCATCGAAAGTTGAAGCTGAATCTACTTTATATACATAATACTAAAGGTAGGGAAGATATGATAGTCTCTCACACTAGCCTTCCCTATAGCAAAAATCTTAGTAGACATAGCATAACCCATACCAAATAACCTAAGTAAGATCTTAGTAGATCCAGTATTTATAGCACTATAGTTAATAGACACTAATAGATCTTAGTAGTTTTCTTTTCATTGAGAATAATACGAATTAATGCTTGCCTTAGTTGTTGGTCAACGTGTTACGATACTGAATGCTCAGAAAGCCTAAGTTCACAAATGTTTGTGAGAAAATCTTGTGATTCAGGTGGGAATCAAACAAAGTGATTCTTATAATGCTTGCATCACAGCACTTTACAGTAAGCACTTATCATTCAAAGTTGTCACTTGGATGCATGCAACCTCCAATCTCATTAATATAATATTAATATAATAATATGTCAATTATTGAAAATTGTAAATAAGGCTGGAAGAGTGATTGGAGCCGACATTAAGTCCTTGGAAGATATTTTTAATGATTTTTTACTTAAGAAATTTAATTCAATTATGCAAGATTCATCCCATCCATTATTTTCAGACATTATCATAAATAGATCGGGAAGGGTTAGACATAAACAGAACAAAATATCCACAAACCGTTTTAAAAATTCAGCATTGTACATCGCTTGTAATCTATTTAATCAAAATTTCAGAAGATAACTGAACAGGACGATACAGCCAATCACTGTCGGGATTGCCGACACCAGGTGAATCTCCTATTAAAACAACACATCATAACTTCTAATGTGATGTCACATATTCATATTTTAACATATTAGAAAACATATAAATCATAACACAATATTAGCATAATCCAGCAACCAACTTGTTACTCTTAACAAAAAATGACTAACTCTCATAATCAATACCTTACTGGTTCCATAATAATCATTACATTGACACATCATACAGTATATTGAATAATACAAACTTCAGTCAGAAGCAGATACTTAAACATACACAACTATTATGAAATACGCATAAAACACACAAATTAAAAGATCAAATAACAAAATTAACTATTTATATAATAACAATAATCAATAAAACGATCGCACTATCATCAGAATCGTCATAATAGTATACATCGTACGACGGCCCGATAATTACATGGGCGCCGCCATCTTGGATTAATGTTTATATAGAGCGCCCTCTCCAGCACGAGAGTTCGTTACAACTACTATTAAAACGTCAGTTGAGCATGTGGGAAAAGCTTATCTACAGCTTAATCCGGAACCAAGTGCAAGGCTGGCAATAAACAATCGTTAGCGTAGGTCATCATATTACAAACCCACATTACGAATTCGTTCTACCGCAGACATTATTATAGAACATTATAACAACAATTATCAGTGAAGCAAGTTGACATTTTACTAAGCATTCATGGTAAATCATCATTAACTATTTGCCTCAATCAGTGCATAATCTTTAACATGCAAACTAATCTGTACAACTTAGGCCTATGCAGTACTGTATAGAACATCGATGTTAATATCGGGCTAGCATCAAATATATCGTTAAATTACACTAATATAATGAATAATTACACTTTGATATAACTTAGTATATCTGTACTATAATATTATACAAATTGATTGATTACTACATTCCAGTCAACTGCAGACAACAGTTACTCTTCAGAAGTAACCAGAATCAATCAGTGTCGCTACACATACGTCTTGCCTCATGCAAAACTGATCCGCAACTGCCTTGTGTTCACAAGTCGCGCGCTAAGCCACAGAACAGAGACGCTCTACGAAAAATCACTGCGCTAATAAACAGCACTCACAGAATAATCAAGCGTGTCTTATGTAAAAAAGTAGTTCTAATTAAATAAACAACAATAAAATTCGGTTCCCGACAAAAATTCACTGAACAACAGTGAAAATGCTCTACGTTTCATAATGGCATAACTTGTATACCATTCATATAGCACAAATATCCATTTTCAAGGAACTGCCCAATGCGTTTGGATACCGTTTCACTTATATACAGTAATAGGCAATACCTGTACAGTATTATTATAATAATAATAGGCAGCTTTAAAAACTCACCCTTTTAATGTGTATTTTCTTAAATTTTTTCTCCTGGCATTTTCATTTTTATTGTTAATAAGCGCATTGAGGCTTTTAGCATAATGCGCTACAGTATACAAGCCAAAGTTATTATTATTGCTATATTATTATAATTATTATTATTATTATTATTATTATTATTATTATTATTATTATTAAAGAAAAAACAAAAGTTTCACAGTCATTTTGATATAGACATTTTATTACTATTTTGTGTAACTCGAACATATATGATGCAACACTCTGACAACATTGTCTAATGAGTAACGTAGAATAACATAGTATAATTAATGTCAAAACTGAGCATTTGCAGAACTACTCTGCTGCTTGTATATTACTTTAAACGGGCATAAATGAATATTGTCCTGGAATAACAAGTAACAGTACAATATTTACTGTGACTTTATTTTTATGAGAATTTAAATCAAATTGTACCGTGTATTTTAGTTATAATATAGACGGCTTAATATTTCAATGTCATTTAATAGTTAAAAATTTTAACATTGTTTGCTTCGTGGTTTGCTACTGCTACTCTTCTTGGTCTATTGGAGATCACAGTGATTCCTCCTGGGGTACTTAATCCATCATCTTCATGGTCTATTCGTTTAATAAAGACACCATTTTTATCAAATAATTGTAGTTTATGATTACTTGACACTATTATATTTTCATCCATATCCATGGTTACACCACAAGGACCCCTTACTTTACCATCTTCCTTACCACAGCCTACAAGGATTCGCATAAACTTATCATGTGCATCAAACATTTGTATTCTCTTATTGGCGAAGTCAGCAATGATCATATGACCTTCCTTGGTTAAAGTAACATCAACTGGTTTATTCATCTGACCTACTTCACTACCCTCTGAACCTATCTTACCTAGTAGTCTACCATCATCAACATTGAATTTAAACACACAGTGAGCCTTGCTATCTGCTACATACAGGACTCCAGTTTTTTGGTTTACTGTCAATCCCTCTGGATATTTCAATATTCCTTTACCAAATGAGATGATTTCTTTAAATTTATTATCACACATTACAACACATTTTCCTAAGAAATCACTGTACACCATGTGACCATCACTCATTAGATGCATATTAAGGACCTCCACATCTTGGGGCACCTGTATCTTAGCAAGAAAAGAACCTGATTGATTGAACTTTAATATATCTTTACTAGCACTAGATACTAATATGCATCCATCTGTGTCTAACATTATATCTCTCACTTTATTTTCTTTCCTATGTTCTTTATAATCTGATATGTTACCAATGGTATGTACAAGTCCCAGTGATTCCACCTTGATATTCACTGGAGATCCTTTGATGTGTGCCTCTCCCGCAATAATCTTCCCAGTCAGCCAGTCACCTTCCACATTGCATCTACCTGTTATTTTGTACTCTCCATTTCCTTGATATTCTACATCAGTGGCTGATTCTTCATGTGATGGGTTGCTTAGAATTGCAGATAATTTACATGCATTGCTCTCACTTAAGCTTGATACGGTTACTGCAAATGTTTGTCCTTTTGTGACGGAAATTACTTCATCATCTTGATCAACCTTGTACATTCCATCAACAGTTGTGATTTTACCGATGCATTCAGTATTCATTACCTCATCCAAGTGTGTAGATGGAATGAAAGTTGGTGTAATATTTTTTATATGAAATGATTTATCAAAATCAGTTCCTAAAATCTCATCTCTGACAGTGTTGATAGTTGTCTTATGGGATTCAAGAGTTTCAGTTTCTTGTGGTTTGTTCATCATTGTACTGATTGAGGCCATCACATTATTAACTTTAGTCAGCTTTGTATCAATATTCTTAACTTGACTATCAACGTCCTCTTTCTTTTCTTTGTATAATTTTTCAAGATCTGAAATTAATTTTTTGCTTTTCTCTTTAACTTTCTTGATAAGTGTCTTCTCCTTCACTTTGATAGCTGTTCTGCATAACTTTAGGTGATATTCAAAATCAGCTCTATCATTAGTAATTGAATCAAGTGTTCCTTGCAATCTGTTTTTAATGCCTTGAGCTGTATTAATAACTTCATTAGCATTGTGATTAAAATCATCAATAGCAGTTATCATTGGTATCACATTATGTTTATTTAGAAAGCAACGAAGTACATGCTTACAATCATCACATGCTGATTTCTTGCAAGTTGAGCAGTAAAATTCTAGTTCCTTGTTGCAATGAGTTGGACATTTGTTGTGTTCATCTTTGCCTCCTTCTTCATTCTCATCTAGTGTGTACAATGGATGGTCTTTCAATGCAGGTATTAACTTGTGTTGTTTAATGCAGTCTGCACATAAGTACAGTAAACATTCAGGGCAATTGTATTTTGGTTGATTATCACAGTTTGAGCATTTAGCTGGTTTTTCAGATTCAGTCTTTTTTACATATTCAAGTAGATGATTTATCATTTCATTAGAAGTGAGTTTTTTCAAATCGCCTTTTGTTAGTTGATAATGCTGACCACATTTTGGACACCTCAACTTGCCCTGTGTTCGCATTAAAGTTTCTAAACAGTGACAACAGTAACTATGGAGGCACTTGAGTGTCTTTGGGTCTGTCATTCTCTCTAGGCAGATGGCGCATTTAAGATCCTCTTTGTCTAAGAATTGTAGTGCTTTGACAGCATACATCTGTAAAAACATATATTGTAGTGTTACTTAATATGTGTATATTGTTATAATATGCTAATTTTTATTAGGTGAATACTGATAAAAAATTTTGTTTATACAAAAATGCAATACTGTATTATATTTATGAAAAAAACTCAATTTAAACAGATGATGTTCAAATAATCCCAGGGATTTAGTAATTTTGACCTGTTGAATGCTGGTAACTTCAGTCCAAAACCAAATCGGCCTAAACCAATTTTGCCCAAACCAAATCAGCCCAAACTATTGAACTATTGAAACAGCTAACTTAAATACGATAACAAAATTTACACATAGGATAAATTTGGAAGTAGCTGTATACACGAATTGAATAAGCTACAGAAGTTGCGGCGTTTTTTTTATAGGAAGTTTTTCTTGTTTATCTCTGTTGTCAATGTTTTACTCAATTTAATGTTTGTATAATTGAGTGTCTTTAATTTTAAAATAATATCAGTATCAAGTTCTTACCTTGAATCAGTTGTTTGTCAAATGGTAGAAATGGAAGTGTACCTGTTGCTACCTGTGATCAGTTAATAATAATAATAATAATAATAATAACGATTTTTAAAGCGCAAACATCACAACCAAAAATTGGTGCTCAAGGCGCAGTGTCAAAACAACAGATAGAGAACAAACAAATCACAAAAAACAAAGTGTAAACAAGTTAATTATTATTATTATTATTATTTTTTTTTTTTAATGTTATTATTGAAAATTAAGCAGCACAGGAAATCAAAAAGTAAACCAACATTTTCATTTTCTCAAAGTAATACCATCCTTTTATCATATATTAACTTGTCATCAACAGTGTCAAACGCAGCACTCAGATCCAATAGCACTAGAGCAGTGAGTTTCCCCTCATCCATAGCGGGAGGTATGTGGGAGGTTTCTGAAATTGTGATTGAATTGTGTCAGTATAGGTACCAAGTTCAAAGCCATGCACTCAAAATGTATTGATTTTGTGATAGCTCTAAAATCAGACAATGTATTGTATTATGGTGGCAAAAAAATGCATACAACATTTATATTTTGGGAGGTTTGTTATCATTTAACATGCATCCCTGCCTAACAATGTTTTGTGTGTTAATCAAGTATAACACTAACATTTAAAACATCTTTATTTGTAAAGGATTATTACACAATCATTAGGTCCTTCGACAGACTAACAAGTCTACTGTGGATTACTGTGATGATGATAATAAATTTGTCCATGTTTTTAATAATTAGCAATAAATTACTTTGTAAATAAAATTTTAACATGTTTGTGTCATAGTGATACAACTGTTTAGATTTCGTTTCATATCACATTTTCATGGTTTTATAACATACTTGTATCTACTTTGTTTTCATCCAGTGAGCAAGAGTGACATTTTACCAAGAGTAGGGCTGGAGTAGCACTTTGTATGACCATATTGGATTGGATTTACAATGACAGGTAATGTACAAGTAAATAAAAACTTAAGTTTCATTTAATTCATATTATGTGTTAATGATACAAATATGATGTTTATTACAACCATACCATTTAGAGTTATTCATATATTATACAGCATTCATAATCTTTTTATTTTATTGAATTCACTCTAAACAAGGCATGGAATCCAATCCATTATATGCCATGAAATGTTTGTACCACCTAAGATTGAAACATAGCGTGAACCATCACAACCCGTCAACAATGCATGCTGGAGTAGGCATGTCGGCCGAGAATGTTCATTGTGTGGTTTACTTCTGAGCACAAGTGCAATAATCAGAATGTAAACCGCTCTGCCAAACCTCCTTTCATATTGTGGGTCTCAGATCTCCAATTTGGTGTGTAAGTGTAATAGATGCGGGTAGGAAAGCTGCTAATTACAAACTGGGCAAGCTAAAATTACTGGAAATTTTAATGACAAAATGCAGCCAATGCCGGTTCAGCGATATTGCTTGTATGTGCACTTTATAGTTCATATAGAACTCTATTTTTGGGTTTTTGAACTTGAATAAAAGTTTTGGTTCAATGAAGTTAATTATTTACAACTAATAAATATTTTTTTTTAAATGAAAAATCTGCTTTTACTCTGACCAATATTAATATTCCACAAGCCATGCTTTGGAATATGATCCTTTTAAGTATCATTTCTTATCTTATTTTTGCTATTATTAATACAGTATTACTATTGTTAATATTGTTATTTTTATTTTCTCGGTTTGCCCTACAGTATATAATTTCTGTGTAAAGAGCAGAGGAACAATGTGCATTAAGCGCATTATTATATAATCTCTGTTGTCAATGTTTTAAGTCAGTTTAATGCTCATATGGAGTGTCTTTAAATTAAAGACACAATCATATTAAGTTCTTACCTTGAATCAATTGTGTATTGACTGGTAGAAATGGAGATGTACCTCTTGCTACCTATGTGATTAATGTGGGTGTTTTCTGAAATTAGCAGGGTAAAAGTTAAATTTTATTTACATGTGTCTAGATATTTGAGTACTGAACCTCAGTTCCTTCCTAGCCTGAAACTTAGCTAATTAATTTGCAAAGTTTTACAGAGATTTTACAGTACCTTCATAGTAAAGACAAAAATTATTCCAATCATTAATCCAAATTTAGATATATAAATGTAGAACATTACAATGTTACAGAAATATATATTCTAAGACCCATAATTAGGCCTACTTATAGCCCAATATCTAGGAAAATGAGTATAATACAACTGAATATAAATAAACAACTACCACAATAAGATGACTGCTCCACATAACTTTTTATTTTTCGACTCCCCGAATATATTCTAGAGGGCGTTGTCATGATCAATATATTACATCCCTCCTTTCTCAAATCATAGCTTCATAGCAGATTTTTATTTTTTTAAATTTTTTTTTACTAATTTAACTCCAAACTGTTTAACAAACTTGATGGGTATTTAAAATTAATACCACTATCCATACTTTTGTTTATCTATCCAGTGTAGTATTTTAAATATGTATAGCCAGTAATTATCAAGAGATTATTATATTCATATGTTAATGCAATCAAGATAAATGTGATATTGTTTACATATGGAAATTATTAAAATGTTCAAAGCCCTTATGATTTATTGTCCAATAAAAATGCTCAAAGACATTATGATTCATTGTCCATAGTTCAGATTAAGCGTAGTAGTCTTTGTATCTATTTGTTGATGATCGGGTAGTTCTAGAAGATCGCCTTATTCCCATACCACCCTTATTGACAGTTACTAAATCATTATTGTCATTGCTTTTCGCAGAAACTGGTTGTGGAATTCGTTTAAAATAGGAAGTGTTTCTAGTAATCTTATGTCCATCTGAGCTTTTCGCTGTTGCGCGAGATGATTTCCTCTCAATTACTGTATATGGTTTTGGGTTAAAACGTGGCGTTAATTTGTTTCTTTTATCTTGCTTTACTAGCACCACATCTCCTTCTTTCAAAATATTTGTCTTCACTCCTCTCCTTGCATTAGCATAATGTTGGTTGTATACCTTTTTCCTTTCTTCATTGTTCTGAGCCACTATGTGTTTGTCTACAATATTGTTGGGTAACATAGGTAATTTACCCTGAATTGGACGGTTCAGCGGGTGAAACTTCCGTTGTTGAGTGTGGGGTAGAGCGGTATTGTAGTAGAAACCGTTGTATTTCCTGTTGCCATTTGCGATTTTCAATGGTTGCGGCCTGGATAGCTTTCATTAATGGTTGATTGAAGCGTTCTACTTCAGCATTGCCCTGTGGCCATTTTGGTGTACATGGTGTAAATTTTATACCAAGTAACTGCATATATTTAGAAAAATCACTGCCATTAAATGGAGGGCCATTGTCGGTAATAACTTAAAGGGGATACCATGTGTAGCAAAAATTCTATCCAACTTAGGAATAACAGATTGTATGTTTGTAGACTTAACAATTTCAACTTCTGGGTATCTGGAATATCGGTCAATAACGACAAGTAGGCATGCTGGACATTCGCAAAGGTTCAGGCGCTACTCATTTTCCTGTCGCTTGACATGCCGTACATGCATGTACTGTGTTTTTGGTCATTTCGTCTATTGAAGGAAACCATATTTTTTCTCGTAATAAACTTTTTGTTTTTGCTAACCCTTGGTGAGATTCGTGTGCGATGTCAATCGATCGCTGGTATAATTTTTCGGGAATAACAATCCTGGTTCCACGAAGTATAACATTGTTGTGTCCAATAGTCAACTCGTCTTTGATAGGTCTGTAATTTCGAACTATTTCTGCAGTCCAACTATTTAGCTTAATCGCTGCCCTGACTGCTTGGAGTGTTTTATCATGATCGGTCGCCTCCTGTATTTCAGCTATTGTCATTGCCTTTGGTACTGCATGTAGTGTTACAAACTTGATATATTCTGCAGTATCGCTGTCATCATCGGTATACTCGCAGTTGGAAACTGGATGTCGGGAAAGATAATCAGCCGGGTTTTGATCACCTGGTTTATACTGTATCTTAAAGTCATACGGCTGTAGGCGTAGAACCCATCGTTCAATTCGTGCTGAGGGTTTGGATGTTGGGCTGCCATAGATAATTTCCAAAGGCTTGTGGTCTCTGTCTCTTATACACATCTAGATGTGTATAAGAGACAGCTTATTGACAGTTACTAAATCATTATTGTCATTGCTTTTCGCAGAAACTGGTTGTGGAATTCGTTTAAAATAGGAAGTGTTTCTAGTAATCTTATGTCCATCTGAGCTTTTCGCTGTTGCGCGAGACGATTTCCTCTCAATTACTGTATATGGTTTTGGGTTAAAACGTGGCGTTAATTTGTTTCTTTTATCTTGCTTTACTAGCACCACATCTCCTTCTTTCAAAATATTTGTCTTCACTCCTCTCCTTGCATTAGCATAATGTTGGTTGTATACCTTTTTCCTTTCTTCATTGTTCTGAGCCACTACGTGTTTGTCTACAATATCTGTCTCTTATACACATCTAGATGTGTATAAGAGACAGTCTTCGATTTTGTGGTAACTATTGCAATAATTGGGTCTGTCTCTTATACACATCTAGATGTGTATAAGAGACAGGAGACGGGTAACAAACTGGTCAATCGTTTCATGTCCTTCTTGGGTACATTCCCGGAAAAGGTAGATAGCCATAGCCTTGTCTTTCATAGGGGTGAAATGTGCTGTTAGTTTGGCCTTTGTCTCTTTGTATTTATCCGTGGTCTCCGCTAGGGTGTCATAAATATCAAACACCTTGGAGCCTGCTAGGAGCAATAACTGAGCCTTCTTTTGCTCATCCTTATGTATGCCTTTCGCAAGAAAGTAAGTTTCCAGACGTGAACGCCATTTTTCCCACCTTGCTGCAGCGTTCGTCGGGTCATCGTCTGGGTCAAATCGGCACAACGAGTGCGCTAGAGGATCGTATGTCGCCATTTTACTTGGTACCACTGAAGTATAACTAGTTTAAGCACTTTCTGGATAAGAACTTCACAATCTAGTCGTACTGTGGTGTTCTTGATGATTCCGTATATACTTGTAAACAAACTGAAGTTATCCTCGTCGCCAATATAATACAACTGAATATAAATAAACTACCACAATAAGATGACTGCTCCACATAACTTTTTATTTTTCGACTCCCCGAATATATTCTAGAGGGCGTTGTCATGATCAATATATTACAGAGGCTACACTACGGAAGTTTCAGACCCTTTTTGGCCTGCAAACAGCATCATCGTGCAAACAGTCAATAAAAATAAACATGAAATACCTTGAAAGCTTTAATTTGCTTTAATGCAGTAGATAAATGAAATCCATGCAATGCATATCATTTTCTACTGTATAGGAAGTTAAATGCAGTACAGTACTTGAATTGTGGAAATTCCCTTTATGACTATAGAGTGCTCACAGACAATGTTCTAAATAAAAATGGCTGTTAAACACAAACCTTGACATGCGAATATCCTCACTTAAGCAGTTCCATTCCGGAATTGACCGTGGGTATAATGTGTGATGGTAGCAGTCTTTATTTGTTATTAATTAAACTTTTTGTTATTTGGAAGAAATGACTAAAGTTCTTAGTAGATCTAGTGTTTGTAGCACTGTAGTTATTAGACTCTGTTATAAATCTTAGCACTGTTTTTCATCATCTGCTATTAAAGGCTTTGAAGAACCTGCTTCATTAGCATATTCATAGCAGGGAATAATAGTTTAAAATCACTGTAACTGTAGAAGCCTATAGAGAAATGTGAATTGAAACATACGGTGCAATAATAACGGAACAGAACTATCATCATTCTACCATCTGCCATAATACTGTGATTGTAAAACATTTACATCCTATCAGGTAGCCATTTAGGGGTCATTCACAATTATCAACATTTTCACAAGTGTACAAACAGTACTCTTTTGGTGCCTTCTCCGTTCCCTCTGAAAATGTACATAAAATATGTTGATTTTAAAAAAACATTTTCTCCATTTTCTGTGAAGTCAACTAAAAGTCATCCATGATTGCGTTATAGTCAATCAAAAAAATAATATTTTAAATATTGCGCGTTATTTTGAATCAGCATTTTCATGCATATGTTAAAGTGTACATATTTGTCTACATATACCCCCTCCCACCTAGTGTACTCTTTATACCTTGTGAAAATATTGATAATTATAAGCAATCCCCTTTACACTCCCTGGACAAGAAACACAGATAAATTGCATGTACCCTGAACCCAAAACAGAAAAGACAAGGCAATGCTGAAATAATTCATCCATTTTTACTTTACATTTTTATTTTTTTTAATACGAATGTCTACCAAGACGTGGTTAAGTATGTACATAAGACAAAGTGACTGATTTTATAAAGCAATTATTGTAGTTATTTATATAGTCTAATCCATTTACAGTGATTATTCTCACTGCAGATGCCATAGCTGGGCTTTTAGAGGGGATTCATACACATCATCTTCTACAAATGTAAATGTTGGAATTATTCTACATATAATATGCTGTTTCAATCATAATTTACTGTTAATAATTTGAACCACAGTTACGTGCACATGGCAATCAGTTTAGCCGACTGAGCTAGCTGCTCTTTTATACATTGTCTTAATAGTTACATATACTGTACTGTAATATAGACCTGCAAATGGATGGATTGCAGAATTTATATTAAATATTTCCTTCTTTTAATGTTAACACTTACCCTTAACTTTCCTGAATATGATAATTTAGAAGTACGGTAAACCAGTTAAGTAATTCTCAACAAAATTTAAAATAAGTTTACTGTATTTACTGCAAGTCTAATCTAGATAGTGACAACTCCCAAAATGGAACTTTAGTTTAGCAGGCTGTAGTTTATTGTATGAAACACACCTTTTTGTGTGTTTCATACAATTCAAGGGTAGTAGAATTTTTGTTATTCAAAGGTAGTAGAATGTGCATTACAACATTTTATATGCATGAGTTGCAGACAATAGAAAGTGGTATAAAGGACCTATTTCAATATTTTCTTATGTATTGTAGTTTTAATGGTTGAGAATATTCTGTTATCTTCAACCAGGCTTAAAAAATGGTTGTTTGCCCTTTATTGTAGACTATGGTGTGACTGACAATGTAATTTCAATGCTGTAGTTTAATATCTTAACATATTTATAATAATTTTGTGTTTGTTCTCTGTTTTCTTTCCTGTACGCACTGGAAAGGAGTAGAAATAAAAACATCACCATTTCCTTGTGTGTTGATTGGTCAAACACTTTTAGTACTTGTGCTTATAAGCTTGCAAATATGGATAATTTTTCATTCCTGATGATGACATAATTGTTGTCGAAATAGTGAATCCTGACACGATGGCGGGCATTTCGATACTTGAAGTATGTATTATACTATCTTATCTCAGATTAATCAGTGAACCTTTCGATTTCCTAATTGTGTCACTTTAGCAAAAGGCACATATTATATGTTGATAATCAAAACATTTTTATGTAAAACTCACATTAAAAGCCCTTGTCTGTTTCTCTCCTCCATGCTGAGACCAAAAGTCATAAAACATCCAAAATTTACCTGTCCCTTTGTGTTAAGTCAGACATTCAATTTGGCCTTCCGGCCCATGTTTATGGCCACCAAGCACACTTAGTTTAAGCTATTGTTTATGTGTGTATGTATGGGGTGCCATACGCAGCAAAAGTCCATGTTAAAATCAAAATGTAATTGCAAAATTCAATGTCTAATTTATTAAAACGTAGGCGTAAATTTCTCAAAATGTAGATCTAGTTTCC